CTTCGTCTGGGACTGATCCTCGGGCTTCTTCGTTTGGGACTGATCCTCGGGCTTCTTCTGGGTCTGATCCTTGGGCTTCTTCTGGGCTTGATCGGGCTTCTTCTGGGATTGGTCCTCGCTTTTCTTCTTGGGCTTCTTGGCTTCGTCGTTGGCGGCTTCGGGTTTGCGCTTGCACCGGGCTCGGGTCTCGACCTTAGGCTCCTCTGCTGGGGGTGCCATCGGTTTCGCCTTCGCGCTGGCTGTCTTACTGCACTTCTTAGAAGGCTCGGCAGCTGCAGCTTCGGGCTCCGAACCACGCTTCAGCAATCCTTTGCTTTTAAGCATAGCCAACACATCGGCAACTTCTGCCGAGTCTTCCTGCTTCTTCTTACCACCCATAGCTCCAGCACACGAAGCTAAAACTCCAAAACAGACCTGGAGAGCCACATAGCGTGAAAAAGCGTGAAGTTTCACATCAAATTTCACACTCAACAGCTCTGGCAGCCCTAAGCAGCGTGAAAACCAGTGAATTCGCATGAATCTGCTTCCGAGGCACGCAGAAAAGTACTATGCGTGAAATCACAGATTTCACAGTTTTCTCACGGTCGTTCGTGTCTGTTTCACGGTCGTTTCACAGAAATTCACAGCCAGCCGGGTGAGGACTCGGCGGAGGCCTTTAATTATGCTCAGCAGACTATAAGCCCAGGTTCAGCCAGCCAAACCAACCATCTGGACCACATTGGCCTGGGATCCCAGCTGGAGATGCGTTTGTGGGTGTAAAAGGGTTCTCGTACGCTTAATATATAAGCTAATTAATGCCAAGATACCCAGTTTCCAGGGAGCTCTAGGGATTTGGATTTCGAGAGGTACATAAGCACGTCGACGGCTTTAGCCTCGGATGGGGCGATCAGCTATAATTGATGTAATTGATAAGCATCGATCTGTGATTGCAAAAGCAGGAAGCCGTCGAGACCCCATTCATAATTCAACTGAAGCAACATCAGACCACAGATCCCCCAATCCTTTCATGCTGTGCTCCGACAAACACTCCTGCACGAAGAGCTCGTAGTCGGATTTCCGCAGAGCATGAGCTCCCAGTCCCGGCCGGTGGTTCTCAGGAAAGAAGGGCTCCTGATGCTCGTATATAGTATCTATATAATAACTGGATTTCAACATATCATGATTTCGCTGCAGTAATGGCACCGACCGGAGCTCCAGGAAGGCACCAGCCAGGAATTCACCAAAGCTCCTCGTGTAGCTCCTTAGATCAGAAGCTGTATTGCGACGGTCTGAGCCTGAGCGGGTCCTACCTTATAATGTGTGTGTACGTACTATATTGATGGTCGAGAATCTGTGAAGCTTTCAGTTCGTCTCTTTTGGAAACTCTTCGCTTCACACCATTTTTGTCAGTGTAGTAGCGACATAGGGGCTTCAGCGAGGCCATTTTTCCGGGTGTCATTTGCTCACCTCGGTCCATGATGCGTTGAACCAAGGCCTGACAGTTGCTCCAAAGTGTATGTCGTTTGGCACTGGGTCCATCGAACATACCCATCCAGAAGCCTCCACTCCAGACCTCCCAGGGTGCTTATATGTAGTCAGCTCAAAGTGATTGGCCCAACAAGACCCATATAACTTAAGAAACCCAAAGCCTGCAGGTCACACAACATCTGTTGAAATCGAGGCATAGTAGGGAGGAAAGACCGACAAGGCTGCTCCACCACCCATCGAAGATTCCGAAGTTGGCACACATAGATCAGCAAAACAAGTCTGCTTGAAAGCACATTGCCCTCAGAGACAAACGGATACTGTTCGTTTCCGTAGGGTCGGAAGACTGATCGCCCGGACGTGTGGCGGCACCTCGCAAGATTCAGTAGCTATAATCGGTTACAATGGCAATGACTCACAATCACTGTCTTTGCAATCAAGCAATGGCTCGCAGTCCCACTAACTTTGCAATCAATGTGCATCGTGGTGAAGCTTCTGCAGTCCAGCCCAAACCAAACCAAACCACCCGCCCGGCAGCGGAGGATTTCCAGGAGGGCCAGCCTCAGATAAGCAGGTAAAGCCCATAGTCCAAGGAATAGGTGGTATATTTTCGGATATGATGTAGTGTGTGTAGAGTGCAGTCATCGAATCTAACGGAAATGACGAGGGTATAGCTAGTCTACTATGGTTCTCGTTTCCATGTTGCTAGACGAAGTACATTAATTATTAATTGTAATATTTAAAGATCGAGTATATATCAGACATATAATCTAGTGATCTAGCAGTAGATAAGTTTGTTCGTTCTTTGTTGTATGCTACATGACGACGATAGAGAAGGTACGGCTTCAGCAGTAAAACTACAACCTCATCTAAGGACATGTTCTTAATGTTTTCATCATACTCACATATGCTACTTTCTCTAGGCAGTGGGGTTATAGATACTGACACATCATATTTTTGTAACATACAGAGTCCTCCTTGTTTGGACTTTGAACGATCACAACACTGCTAATCTGCTAATCTAACACATAATTACCATCGTCCTGTGCACCCTACAATAATTGCAACACAAGCAGCAGAAAGCCTGCCGGCTTCAGGAAATCCATTGTCTGCGGATCCAGCTCGATGTCGAGGGAGGTGCCACGGAGTCCAGCCTGCGCTAATTGGGTTGTTCAGGCTTCGGGCATAGGTTAATAGCCTCAACAGCGGTTTAAGTTAGATCGAGTTGCACGGCGTAGTGCATGAGATATCTCCATCTTCCCGCAAAAGAGCTCGACGAAGTCCCGGTCCTCCAAATATTTAAGGCTGCATCACACCAACTCACACACACACA